TCACCCCCCCTCCCCCACCCAAAGTGATTCAGGGCTGATGCTGAAAGGTGTTTTTTATTAACAGCACCAACACCAGTTTGTGTTGGTGAGTTAATTAATAACTAAGTACTTTTAAAGTGATGCAGATCATCTTCATCATCATCATCATCATCTTCATCATCATCATCATCATCTTCATCATCTCCGTCTTGACTGTGAAAACACAGTCATAGTCAAATAACACATTTAAAAATATACTTAATACGAGGAGTGAAAGAAATGATCACTACACCAGTGTCTCCTGTTCTGTCCTCTCCTGATCTGTCCTCTCCTCATCTGTCCTCTGCTCATCTGTCCTCTCCTCATCTGTCCTCTGCTCATCTGTCCTCTCCTCATCTGTCCTCTGCTCATCTGTCCTCTCCTCATCTGTCCTCTGCTCATCTGTCCTCTCCTCATCTGTCCTCTGCTCATCTGTCCTCTCCTCATCTGTCCTCTGCTCATCTGTCCTCTCCTCATCTGTCCTCTCCTGATCTGTCCTCCCCTGATCTGTCCTCTCCTGATCTGTCCTCTCCTGATCTGGCCTCTCCTCATCTGTCCTCTCCTCATCTGTCCTCTCCTGATCTGTCCTCTCCTCATCTGTCCTCTGCTCATCTGTCCTCTCCTCATCTGTCCTCTCCTGATCTGTCCTCTCCTGATCCCGTATCAATCTCCTCAGTCATTGATCAGTTCTTGATTTTCTCCAATATTCCTGGTGTTGGTTCATGTTCTTGTTCTTTTCTTTCTTCTCTAGTGATTCCAAATGTAGATCCCTCTGTTCCAGAGTTAGGAACTGATGTTCAGATGGAACAGAGTCTGAGACTAGGATCTCACTGGGGGGGGGTCAGTATATGGTATCGTTGCCCCGTCGTATGGACAGATTCTTGACGACACTCAGCTCCAGTATCAAAATAATCTTTTGTTTCTGAACACCGTGTTTCAGTTCAATCTCGTGCTCATTCTGAATTCTCTCACCGCTGACCGCTCGCCCACCATTTTGTTTTTGCAATGCATTTTACTGATGAGTGGAACCTGTTCATTTCCCTTCAGTCTGAGATCTTCCAGCCACAGATAAAATTGACTGATAGGTAGGTCAACGCCTCCTGAACTTTCACTCATGTATGAAAAATGTAGAAAAACTGTCTGAAACCAAACTCGATGACGTGATCACTGTCCAAAACACCACTGATTCAGTTTGTCCATTTAAAAATGTTTGTGTTGTAATTTTGTAGTAAAGTCGTCCATCTTTAGTCCTGAGGTCCTGACCCCGTGGATGTCCAGTAATATTTGAATTTTATTTTTATTTTTATTCATTTATCTTCAACCACGAGCGTCATCGTTGTGGGTGGAGCTAGAACCAAACGTAACGTCTTGTGTTCTGTGGGAATTCTGTCAACCATTGATTTTTTTTAATTTTTTTTTTGTAAGGCAAGAGCAGTAGCCACTCCCCCATGTCCTGGTGTCGGTCCGAGACCCAGCAGTTAGTGACCTGTCCACTGATGCTGACGACTGTCGCTGGATTTCTACTTGAATTTATTTCTTTATTTTTTTCCAGGTTGCGCGGCAGCGGGAAGATCTGGTCCAAGTCCAACTGATGATGTCACCGCTGATGATGTCACCACTGATGGACTCTAAATAAGACTTATGGCACATGGACATGTTAATGGACAAACGGATCCATCAGGCCGACGCCCACGGAGGGAAACGGGGAAAAAAAAACAGCAGGAAGATCAATATGAACTGTTCTCCTCACCTGGTCATTTCACCTGGTCCAGACACACACACACACACACTGACGGGTGGAAATGACAGGTGGACTATTATTATATCAACACACACACACACACCGCACTTAGAACGCATGACGGAGACGGACGAGGACGAGGAGGAGGAGGAGGAGGAGGAGGAGGAGGTGGCAGCAGCAGCAGCAGCAGGAGTGTTACCCCGGGCATGTTTGTGTGTGTGTTTCTTTAATGTTTGATTTTTCTTTTTTTTTTTTTTT